GTTCTGAACTGACAGGGTGATTTTGCCCTCTGACAAATATTATACAGAACGTTTTACAGGGAAACAAATATACCGGACATGCAGGTAATTTCTTCTTCATATTAGGAATCTTAAAATCAAAATAACTAATTTTACAATAGGGAGTGACTAAGGCAGACACAAAGCTATAACGTAAGTTTCTCTTAAGAGATAAAGATAATTAAAATAATACAATTTTTATTATTCCGAAATGTTGCATTTGTGTAGCAACACTTCATTGGGAAATAAAGAAGTATTTATTCTACACATAATTTTGAAAGCATATGTATGGTCAAGGTTATTTTCTATTACCAATGGAAAGTTTGTATATTTAATAGTATCTGGAATTTTGATTTAGAAATAAAATATTGATCCATATTCAAATAAATTGAAAAATCAAACATTCCGTTTCAAATATAGTAAACAGACATCAAACTGAAACTTAAAAAAATAAATTACAAAAGGATGAATATTGATAAAGGAAAATGTTATATTTTGGCTTTAAGAAATGATTTAACGTTCCTTGAAACTATTCTGCCAAAAATAAAATAAAATTTAAATATTTTGGAGCATGCATCTCTAATATTAGTGATCTGTCTACATGTTATTTCATCTGCTCCTTGGTTCTATGCATGGAAATAGAGCCATTTGTAAAGAAAAACCCAGAAAAGAGTAACTTAAGACTCAATCCTAATGAATCTGGGACATTACTGAAAGAAACTGATTATCAGGAGATGTTCTTGGACTTGGCAGTTGGTAGCTGACATTTGTTCCCCACTACCTGGTGCTAATTGGTATGTAAGCTCTGGCAGCTAAAATAGGAGTTGATGGGAAGAAAAATATGTGTACCTCTTTAATGCAAGGGTATGAAAGCCCATAAAAGAATAATTCACAAACCCAAATACAAGGAGGGAGCAAGCAGGGGAGGAAAGTTATTTTTTGCTTCCCCTGAGCAAACATGTAATTTCCATGATTTCTTTTTAATGACTGCGGTCTGTGGCCAGTAGGCACTGATTTATGAAAAGCTGTAAAAGATCAGGTGGAACTCTGTAGGACATCGTTTACAGCTGCTTGGATTGAAACCTATCTAATTTGTCTAGTAAAAGTGTGAGCTCACGGTGCACATCACCCTGCCTATAAATTTCCCCTTCAGACCCCAAGTCTGGGGCTGGGTCTAAAAAAAATCCTGCTGCCTGCAGCTGCTCTGAAAGCTGGATTCCCTCGGTGCGCATGAAGAGACATCACAGCCTCTTCACAGTGAGAGACAAATTCCTATCCATTGATAAACTCTCCAGATGTCCTCTCGGAGGAGGAAAGGAACCAATTTTTATTTGAAATCCCTAGAGAAATCCTGGAAGTGGAAAAATGATACTTTTCAGGGCTGGTTATTCTGAGGTCACTGGCATTAAAATTAGGTCCTCCCCCCTTTTTTTTGTCTTGGTTGTACTTTGATCCAAACCATAAACAGAAAACCTCAGCTGGGGTCACTCTAATCCCTAATCCACACGTCCTGTTCCATTTCAATTTGTTTATACTAATTTTCTCCAACGTCTTGTTGAGTCTGTCCAAAGTGTTGAGTTTAGAAATACAAACCATCCTGAGCTGAGAAGAAAATGTTTCCCATTTTGCTATTAGGCACACTTCATAAATATCCTGAATAAATGCCCTGGGGTTTGATTCTTTGTACCCACAAACCCATAAATAAAGAAGTATTACTATTCATGGGACAAAGAGACGACATGGGTTCTGGGCAACAGCTACCGGAGACATGGAAACTGGCCTGTGTGTGTTCATCCTAGGGTATTTTTATATTTCCCACATCCTAGGGACTTTTGTATCTCATTGTCTTGTATCTTGGCCTCAATTCATTTTTCTTATAAAACTTTCTCATACTTTCCTTTTGCTTTTCTGTGTACTTATATATAGCAAAGATGATTTGTCCAAAAAAATCCATTGCCCCCGTTCCTTAAATTAATTTTAAATTTGAAACTCTTAATAGAATTGTTTTAGCATTGTGTATCAATTTATAGGTTTCTCAGATGCTAGTTTCTCAGTACCTAGGACTGGGGCAGTCTCTGAAATTCTCCTTCCCTTAAAAACTCAGGTTCTGGGCCAGTAAGATGGCTTAGCTGGGAAAGGGGATTTCTGCCTGAACTGATGAACTGAGTTAAAAGTGGACAGAGAAAACCTATCCTACCATATTGTCCTCTGACATCCACATGTGCACTGTGGCAAGCATCCACAACACATTGTTCACACACACACACACACACACACACACACACACACACACACACACATGCAATAAATTCACACAGGAAATCTAATAACTATTTTTGATAAATTAAAATTTAAAAATCTTCAACATTATACTTTATGTATCTTTTGTATGTTTAGGAATGATGGGGACTATTGACAGTGGTAAATGAGTCCCAATTAAAAGTACATTTGAGATGCAAAGTTGGCAAGTTTATCAATTCTCCTGAAAGCTGTTTTCTTAGTTACAATAGGCACATTTCCCCACAAGGACTACTTGATAAGCAGCTATTACTTTCATACGTGAGAGGGAGTACAGCTCCAGAGCATCTGAATGCCTTCGTTTACCTAATAAGATTGACTATAATTAACCCCAGCTAAATTTACTTCAAAAGTAAGGGAGTAAGGCATACTGATAATTCTTCACTTATCTTGGAGTCCTCTGGATCCCAAGTTGAGCTCCATATTTATAAATGTTGAATTTTAGCACTCCCCATTATAAACTTAGTTTAGGCACGTGTTTTTAAGAAGATAAAAATAAAAGCATTTTAAAACCGATGATGATGGATACTTTATGCTTCAGATTGAGTCTAGGAAGCTAAGAACTTGCACTAAACGGAACTACACATTTGGTCTTAGGTATTTTAAAATACACTGAAATGTCTTCAGAGATTAATAAAGATTAGATCCAAGGCCAACTTCACAAAAGATGAAAAATTTTAAACAATAATTCTGATGAGGTAGAAAAATCAAAATGCATATTCACAATTGCAAAAATTAGACTATGGTAGATGAAGTTTTAATGTAAACAGCCTATTCTGTTTAATAATGAATACAATAATGATATTAGGCAGAATAGCACATCCATTTACAAGAGTTACCTGTGACCTCATAATGAGCTTGTAAAGGTTATTGACAATTCTAATGAGGCCTCTAATAATAGCCACTTTACAGGGCTGTTGCACCATCATATACATAGTGTTACACATGACTAAACTTAAAGCCCCTCATGCAGCAATTAACAATATCACGCTAATCCAAGCACTCTAAGAAACTTAGAATTTACTAAAATGTTTTCTTCTTGAAGTTTTAAAACTGTAAGCCAGACTCGATGAGTATTCGACCTATGTCAGAATAATAGCAAACCTCTGCAATTATGATGCAGCATTGTTCTAAATATAACATTTACCTGCCAGCCATGGAACCGAATATCACTTCTATCACATACATCCCATTTTACAAATCAGGAAAACAGCAAACACTCCAGGACGCTTAGATAATATTTGTTATGCACTGCATTGCCCCCTGACCCTTCACAACACGTATGTATCAGAGGTCACATCCTACAAATAAAATGCATTAAAAAGGAAACAAAGGAAATCCAGCTTAAACAACTTTTCCACCAAATGGTGTAGTATGGCAGTGCAGAATGTCAGTTCCCGTGCAAGTTGTGTCTAAATCCCTTTTCTGTCTCTTTTGCCTGAGGAAACCAAGATTGTAACTTAATTTGTGTTAGTGTTGGCTTCTGCATCTATTACAAAGCATACACCATCTGTACCTAACTGATGTTGTAAAGGTTAACTCCAATGTCTGTGCAATGTGCTTAGCATAGGGCCTGGAAACAGTATAAATGCTCATAAATTTAAAAATTTGATCCACAAACAAGGCCCTGTAACCACTTTGTTTTTAAGCTTCCTCATGGAAAAAAGAAACAAAGGTGTCAATAAATTCTCCATTTCTTATGAGTCAAATGGCAGTTAAAAAAGGAGAGGGGGTACTAAGAGCTAAGAGAGATGAAATCCTAAACAAATAAAAGCACTCTACCTCAAGTGAGTTTACTCATAGCTTGTCTCTTTACACTCTTTGACAATAGAAACACAGTGTTCACAATTTCCTTCATTTCAGTTTTGCATTTTTTCAACAAATCTCCATTGCCTTCTTGGATGTGCAAATAGGACCATGACTCCATAAATCAATACTAAACATATTTTAATGAATGTTGCCTAATGATGTCACTATGTTATACTCTACCTCTATATCTGTACGTCTCTGAATGTATACATACACACATACATGCACACACATGTATGTATGGGTGAGTGTGCATGTGCAATGTTCATTTGGTGATGTTCAATAAGGAATAATTTCATGTATTAATATTGACCTGCCATTCTCCAATCTTTTTGTAATTTTCACTTTTAAATAGCATTGGTAATATTATCAAAATCTGTGCTGACTTCTTTATCTTGCTGTAAATGTACCTTATATTTCTAATTCTTCTTTATCCACAAAAGCTATAGAATCTCTAGCAACAACCATCCATTTGTGAAGGATTTAATATTGAAACAGAATCCATTAGGTGGCAGATAGGAAAGTGTCTACAGTGTCATGCCTGATACAACTGTTTCTAAAGTATACCATTTTGATAATGAATTAAAATGTCAAATACAGTAAGATATGTTTATATATTTTGCTGGCAACATTTTGATGGTTTTAAAAGCTGTGAAGGGCAGAGAAGGTAGCGCTTAGGTGACCTTATGTTTACCGTCTCCTTCCAAGTCACCAGCTTGAACAGATGAAGACTTCATGGCAGATCAATTCCTCAAATAAACAGGAGCACCGCATGCAGTCTGGAAGTTCCTGCTGCTGATGGTGTCAAATTTTGACACTTGGCCACTGCAGTCACTCCTGATCTATTTCTTTGGGATGTTTTTCTTTTCTTGCAGGCCATCAAACCTTCTTCTGGACCAAAGCAATGTCGACATCACTACCTTCCACACAACAGGTGATTGGCTTAACGGCGTCCGACCAGCACATTGTAAGGAAATCTTCACAGGAGTGGAGTACAGTTCCTGCGACACCATAGCCAAGATCTCCACCGAGTAAGTGGCATAATGACGAGAAAACAGAGCATTGTGAACGTCTTCCTGACCATATGCATTTTGTATTAATGGGTTATGACTACCTGGTTATCTGTTTAAGGGTGGCAGATTATAATGTCTGCTTTACTTCTGAAAGTAATATCCACTGTCACAACAGAGCAGGGCCCTGGAGTCCTTTTTACACACCCCGTTGGCATATGTTGAGGTATCTTTCTTTTCATGAAAAATCTTCAAGATAGGGTCTTCCTAGATAGCAAGATGTGCTGGTAGATAAATGACCCCAAACTCCTAATGTAAAACATTATCAGGTATAGTATGTATTCCTATGTAGTGACTTCCTGTGATTTTCTTATGGAAGTTTTATATCTGTGTATGTGGACAGTGAGCAGCGAATGAAAGATCTACAAGAGAGAGAAACATGTCAAAATACAAAAGTAGTTTCCATAACTGCTAAATATCTTCTATCACCATGCATTATTAATTAAGTCTTTACTCCCTGAAGAAAAGAATACAGAGAAGTAAAGTTAACAGTAAGTTTTGAACAGGACATGTTTGTTTTCATTAGATTGGTAGTTGAGGAGGATATAAATTCATGTTGGTTTTTACTCTTAACATAGTTTTCTATGCTAAAGATCAATAATGACCAAATATACTATGCTGTGTTTCTTCGGGGTCACAAGAGAAGAATCTCCTGATTTGAGAACCTAAAGGAGACTAAAGAAGAAAGGGATTTTTAGAGAATCAAGTGAAAGCCAGATGGATGTGTAGTTCAATTGGTAGAGTGATTCCCTACTGTGAATGAGATCCTGGATTTAATCCCCAGAACTATGTAAGCAGGGTATGGAGGTGCACATCTGTAACACCTGCACTTGTAAATGAGATAGAGGGTCAAAATATCAAGGTCATCCTAATAAAGGGTTTGAGACAAGTCTGGCCTACATGAAATCCAGTCCCCTCAAAGTAAGAAACAGCCAAGTGATCCCAGTGAAAATAATCTTACTTTTATCTTATCTTACCTTAAGGGTATGATGACGAGAAACTGGGAAGCGAAACAGTTGGTCACGTTCTTTATCTCTTTGTAAATGAGGTCCAAGTTACCTACCTCACTTGCTGATGTGATGGTATCCTTTTCTTATCTTCTAAACCATACTTGTATTTCTCTAGTAACACATGTGCACACACATACATGTGTGCATACACACACACACACATACACACACACACACACACACACACACACACACACACACACACACACACAAGCTCTTTAACTCTACCATCCTATCATACACCTGAGCATGGAGCAGCTCTCTTAGCTAAGTCACTGGTAGAGATAAAAAAGGAATGATTTGTTTCCATTTAAATAAGAATCTCAAAAGTCACCTGCTTGCCATAACTTATCAATTTTCTTCAAAAGAAGTAGAGTGAGAGCATATTCACTTGGTTCTAGAGGCCATCACCCAAATGTAAAATATGATACTTTCTTAAAGAAATGTGTTTGTGTTTGGCAGAGTTGGCTCTGTCCATTAAGTAATGTCACTCAAGCACAAAACCAAAACCTAAGTTCCAATCCCAGCATTGACGTAAAAGCAAAGACCAGTGACACATTTATACACTCACACATATTCATACACAGCCAGGCACACTGTCTTTAATTCACTTATGACCAGGTTAAACATAATCAGGCAACATTTTAACATCAAATGAGGTAAGAACCTTAACTAGACATATTAAGTTTCCCTTTGCCCTCACGTTCTTATCTTTTGAACTTAATTGCCTCAACTTCTGTGCTCTTTGTGCCATCAATGCTCAATTCAGAAATGATTCACTTGACCAAATAACCCTAGAAATTCTTCTAGAATAGTCAGACACCTGGGTAGGATATTGAATTTCTTTCTGTTTTCCTGCTCAGTCTACCAAGCCCCATGAAAAGGTCAGGAGTGTTTCCCTCACAAATAAATTTTAATTATTTCAGTAAATTTAGGAATTTCATTTAAAAAATGACAGCTACTACAATCCCAAATTTTTCACATGAAGCCAATAAAATACTTTTAATGAACATTATTAAAATATTATTTTACAGCATAGAGTGGATTTATAGAGGTCTTATCCAGAAAGAAGGAGAGCACAGAGGTAGGCACAATGATGGAAATTGTGGAGACAGGAGCAGATTAAACTTGGGTAATGCACACCAAACAGTCATTGCTAGAGGTCATCATTGTGCATCTTTTGATGCCATTTTCTAAGTGCTACCCCCATTCCTTTTGTGTATGAGTTAGAGATAACACAGCATCCCCTAATCCTGACCGGGAGCTGTTCTTTCTCTGTCTTAAGACCTGAGTCTAAGAAACAATACAATATGGACTTGGATTTACTAGCATTCGAAATAGCCACCCAAAGTGGTCCTGATTCAATAAAATAGAAAAAAAGTATATGTAATTATCTATTTTCAGTTGGGTTAATAAACAGAAGTTTAGTTGTTCAGCTATCACATATTTCCACAAAGTTGTCAGCCTCAATAACAACTGTATTCTCTCTAATTTTTGGAGGATAGAGTCTGAAATCATGGTATTGGTAAACTCCCTTACGAGTCTCTGTTAAATATAGCCTTGCTGCTTCTAGCTTCTGGTGAATCAAGAGATTTATGAGTGACAGTAGAATGCAATCCCTGCCTCCAATTTTATTATTTCTTCTTCTCTGTGTCACACTGTATGTTTTCCTGTCTCTTATAAAGAAACACACACTGAATTTAGTATCCACCAGCATCTAGTACTCTCTTTAATCCTTGCCTGAATTTGGTCTCCAAAACATCCTAATTCTGCACCAAGAAATATTGTGCAGTTGTGGGTGACAAAAGATTTGAGAAACATATTTAGTCCCCTACACCATCTATATTCCTACACAAAATAGGGATAGAATGGCCCAAATATAACAATGTTTTAAAAAATTAAAAAAACAGGTGACAAGCGCGTGCATACATAACTGTACCAATTGAAACTTTAAAGTGTACTACTTCTCCACTCTTCAAACTCCTTGATTCTCATCAATTACTTTTTGCTATTTTACAGTGATGTGAAAAAGGTTGGTGTTACTGTGGTTGGGCCACAGAAGAAGATCATTAGCAGCATTAAAGCTCTAGAAACACAATCTAAGAACAGTCCAGTTCCAGTGTAACGTACAAGAAGGATGTGAGAAACGGGGAAGATGAATCATCAACCTGAGACAGACAGAAAGAATGGAGACAGTGATGAAAGCTCCAAGTCTAATAAGACACTCAGTTATAAGTCCAAATGCCTTAAAATGGAATTGAAATCCCTTTATTTTCCCCTATCATTTTGCAGATGGGTGGGTGGGTGTGTTTTGTTTTGTAATTGCTTTTTTAAATGTTAATTGATGGGGTCATTTAAAATCCTTCAGCTCAAAATGGAAGAACTAGTGTAGAGCCATTGATCATAAACTGTCTTAAAATTAAACCTAGTTAACTAGAAAAATGGACCTGACGGCTTTGTCATGGATGGCCACAGAGGAAAAGACTCGTGATATTTTTATACACAGAAGAAATCTGTAACAGGTATTTTGTTTCTTTAAAAGCAAACAAAATAGAGGCATTTATACCTCAAACTATCTGGCCATATTTACTACCTTATCACTTTAGTATTCTCTTTTATTTGTATCTGTTTGACGCATATAGAAATGAAGTTTGTAGTTGTTTTAAATACTACACATTTTTAATTGTTACCTTCTTTAAGCATACCATGTAAAACATGTCCTAATTTGGGGGGAAGTGCATATTTATTTTCTTTTGGGTGGTTTTTATTGTTTTATATTTATGCCTTTATGGTCTCATTTGAGTTTTGTTACAGCCAAGTGCCAAATCCTATCTCAAATTGTCATCAGTAAGAAACATATTTAACTAGACCCAGAGATGATGTGTACCAACTGTTGAACAATCATTTATATGTACCAACAAAATGAAACTCCTTCCATGTTCATACAGTAATCAAATCACTCATGGCTTGAATTATTCCATTCATTTTTGTCTCTCCATTTATCAGTAACTGTATGTTCCTAAGTTAGTGTAATATATTCGCTTGTATGTAATCGATTTTTAACCAGATATCAGACCTTCCCTGCTCTGGTGCTTAGCGGACATCAAATTCTTCCATTCACGAGGGAAGTTTTTAAAGCTCCTTAGATTTGCAACACTGGAAAGATCAAAATGAAGTTAGATGACATATTATTGGGCAGCGGCCTTTAGGTAAATGCATGAAGCCAAAAAAAAAAGTCACTGACTTTGAAAAGTCTCTTGGTACCATTGCTTAAATCTGCAGAACTCTTTGTAAAGAATAATGATAGTTTAGCTACTCATTGCATCACTGGGGTGTAGGTCAATTAATCACACATTTTCTTCATCAATATCAGGCATAACTATCTTTGGGTCTTCCACTTCAATGGACCAATGGTGATATGGGTGCATGATTGAACTTCTACACATATTATTAAACATAACTTTCTTGGAATAGCAACTCATCTATAAAATGAAATCCACATATGCAGGCAATGGGCAGATGTCTCATTGTGGGGATTGTAGATTTGCTGTTGTCTAAAGGCCAATTCATTAATATTAAGAAGGATGTGCCTGGTGGGCATCCTGCTAACCATACATACTGAAGCAATATTTAGATGCAGGCATTTCATGCTGCTATCATCATTCCATAGGTTCAAGAAGTGCACGTGTCACAAGAATAAGAAGTTTAAAAAATGCTGCAACAAGTATGTGTATATGCAAAATGGGACACTAAAGAAATACAGCTTCCAATTGTAGAGGAAACTGCCAAACGCTGACCTTTGTACGTTTAGTATACTAAGGGGTGAGGTGTGTTCTTTGGGGTGTGAAATTGTTTCCCAGATTTTGGCAATGTTCCCTGTAATCAAATCATGCTACTAGAATTTGTATTGGATTTATAAGAGCATGACCAGTTTGGAACCCGGCTGATGAAATTAATCATAAATTTTGCTTTTAACCCCTGAAAGCAACTAGAAAGGAATCTAATGAAGTGATTTACTTGGGTTGAAATTTAAATCTATCTTCTATACTGGTTTGCTCATACTAGCGTCCACTCTCTTAGGCATTATTCTGGTCACACCAACAATGAATTTCAAAATAAGTAGTTGATGAAAATTGTTGACTCTATTGCATTTATTCGGGCTGAGTTTCTTTTTTAATGTTTGAAAGTAGAGGTGGATTACACAGTGTATTGCTTCTCATTTGTCAGTTACTTTTTTCTATCTGACCACTTATGAATTTACTTTGCATAATCCCTTCCCTGTACATATGTAAACATAACAGTGTACGATTCTGGACTGGGGAGTAGAGGTACTAGAATGCTTATGGCCATCTCTTTGTACAGGAACTACATTGCCTTCCCATAACAATGAGGCTACCACTCCCTCACAAAGTTATGTACCATATTATCTGATTTGTATCTTAAATTTGATTTATAGATTTTATTTATTTCTGGCAACACACCCAGTCTATGCTGTACTAAGTATCTATCAAGCCATGTATAAATACGTTATAATTGGTAGTATGTGTTTAGTTTAAACTTGCATTTTCAAAACATTGTTCACTTAGTTTATGTTGCACAATGTAGATGGCCTCTTACTAATGTAAAATGATTTCTAGTGGGAACATTTATATTTTTATAATAAACATAATGAAAATATTTTTACAGATTGGAATACAGAAGTGGTCTTTGATGTTTTATTTAAGTATGAAGTATATGCTAATTTAAACAGCAAATTAATGAAGCATTATCTATGTCATTAGGAATGTGCTTTTGGTTTCTTTGTCCTCTTCATTATTTTCCAATTTTATCAGAAAGTTTGGAAAATCATCACTAATTCATAAAGAGTAAAAAACAGGTGACAAGCGTGTGCATATATAACTGTACCAATTTGAAACTTTAAAGTGTACTACTTCTCCACTCTTCAAACTCCTTGATTCTCATCAATTACTTTTTGCTATTTTACAGTGATGTGAAAATCGTAGTTCTCTTGATTTTGCATCTATTTCACACACACACACACACAAACACATACACTTTAGGAGAAATGTAAATTTTTATAGTTTCACCAGAGTCCACTTATCTGGCAGAAATGGAACCAAACTTTAAGCCATTTGATATAAGTCTCTCATTATGTCTTCTTCCCTTCAGCCCATATTTCTGCCAGCTAATTTGAACTATATATTTTTTTACAAGTAGAAAATGCTACTCTATCTATTTTTAATGTAAGTCAATACTATGATTCCTATGAAATTATTATTGCTCCATAATTATCTAGTCAGAGTTCCTAAAGCCTTACTTTGGATCACAATGGTTAGGGGAATATATTATTGAAATTGGTAAAAACTCACACCTGAGTTTGTTCAGGGAAGTAGTGATGGGATTACGCAGACACCATGCTTTTTAGAGAACTTAGTCATTTCAGGATCAATGTGAATTGAATGAAGGAAGCCAGGGTATTATAGATGGGTTGAATCAAAATACAAACCAAAAATATAATTGCAAGCTACTTGCTAAGACACACTTGATATTTGAAGTAAAGTGAGCTTCTTGTCATTATAGTCTACTTAAAGAAACAGGTTTATATGAAAATGAAAAGTTTTTAAGTCGAGAAATGAATTAAACTAAGGGACCTATACAGGAAGAAGTAATTAGAAAGGGAACACAAAATAAATTAGAAGTGATTTTTGCTTGGAGGGAGAAATGGCATGTCATTCTGTTGAGTGGAGTAGAGAATAATTAGTAACAGATAAGGTAAGTAAATTATAGGTAGAAATAAAAAAATGTTCACTTGTTCTGTAAGCTTTTAATCAATGTTATTTTAGGAAAATGGTTCTGTCTATGCACTTTCTATGTAGACTAGTTTGGTCTGAAACTTTCAATCCTCCTGCCTCAGTTTCCCAGGAAGGACACATGTACCACTGTGGTTTATCACCAAACTTCTAGACAATTTATTATCAGAAGTAACAAGTCATTCATTAACTTCTTACAATGGTTTCATGAATAACCTTTACCTATTTTGAATAGAGGAGAAATGTTAAGCTCAAAATTTCCAAGTGACCTTCTCTAAGGTATAGTCTACTCTTCTTCACAAACAGATATTTCAAACTAGATCCTTCTGATGCTGTATGGAGTGAACACCTGTGAGCTCCAATGCTTTCAGAACTCCAGAGTATGTCATGGCCCAAGTCCTTGTTCCACCTCATTCGATCCCTGGAAAAGATTATGGGCATAGAAACACCAGAGGCAGATTATTTTTTTCTCACATGGTGAACTTTTGGCAAGAAATCTACTGTCTTACTACAGTCATTGGAATTGAGGTTTTCCTTATTCTTATTTTATTTCTTATTGAAAATAAAGTTCTTTTTCTAAAATATTCTGATCACTTATTCCCCTCCCTCAATTTCTCCAAAATCCTCTCCACCTCCCTACTCTCTCAGTTCCATACCTTCATTATCTCTAGTAAGAAAACATACAGGCAAATAAAAAGGAAAAATAAGGACAAAAGGCACAAACCAACAAACAAAATAAAATAAGAAATGAAGAGCTGAAGAAATATATGTACATGCCCCCTTGTGCTCTCTCTCTCTCTCTCTCTCTCTCTCTCTCTCTCTCTCTCTCTCTCTCGCTCTCTCACACACACACACACACACACACACACACACACACACACAACATAAAATACAAAATTAGAAATGACAGTAAATAAGCAAACTACAAATATGGTTTTAATAAATGCATAAAGCAATATGTGACAAAAAATCTCCAAAAGGACCATTAATTTCAATTTGTGTTGGCTATCTCCCCATCCATAATTAAAGCCCCCCTTTACATTATCCCTTTTAGCTTCCTTTTTCTGTAGTTGCTCTAGGTTATATACTCAATAACTGGTGACTAGGATCTAGAAACTGCTAATAAGAGAGAACATGTTATGTTTGAGTCTCTGTGCCTGAAATACCTCTAGCAATATGATCCTTTCTGATTCCATCTGTTTACCTAATATTTTATAATTTTATTTTTCTTCACAGTTGAATAATTTTATACACTGTGCATTTTCCAATTTTCATTATCCACTCATCAGTTGATGAATACTTAGATTGTTTCCCT